TCACTGCGGCTGCTGGCCGCTCACGCTGGCTGCTGGCTACACACGGTAGCCCATGGCAACCCACTGCGGCAGGGGCTGCAGCCTACGCCGTCGCCGGCGACTCTGGGCAGCCCAGCTCCAGGTTGAGCTGTTGTTCAGCATCTTAGCTGTGGAGGGCAGTGTCACTGACCCTCATATGTGGGATCCGAACCGGGGTCCTCTGGCGTCCCAAGCCAGTTCTTAACCAATGCGCCACTTGGCTGGCCCCTGACCTCAGATCTTTCTCTACCTCAAGACCAACCCAGAGCTTTGGGGGATGTACGCTGGGTGGGAAAAACCCATATTTAACAATCATTAAACTTTGCCACAAGCTTCGAATACTTCTCACTTGAAGAAATAAATGAAAGATAGGGCAAAGCCCCCCATTTTTCCTCCTCTCCCCTCCCTAAGTGGCAGCCTCCCTGGGGAAGTCCATGCGGAGTCTTCCCATGCATGTTTTCATAGTTTTCTTTAGTTTATTGGTAGCCATTGTTTTGTCTACTTAGAAACTTACACGGTTGGCATCGTCTTATACTCATGTTTTGGTACTGGTGTTTCTGAATGGATTTATGGCTTGGACACCACGCAGAGGGTGAGCTCTGAGCAGGAAGGGGTTTTGTGGGTTTTGCTTCCTGCTCTGTTGGTTCCAGAACCATCTGTGGAGCACATGAGTGGATTTGGAGTCACTCCCCCTGGGGCCCTGGGACCCTGGGTCTGAGCTCTGACCTTCCCGGCCCCAGAGGCATACCTGCCACGTTGGCCACCCGCAGGGCTTCCTGGTTCTTGGGCGTCTTGGAGCGGTTCTGGCTGCGCTGCTTACTGCCTGTGGAGCGCGTGCTGCGGAGGTGGACCTCGGTGGCCTTGAAGAAGGCCACCATGAACGGCTGCTTGTTCTGGGGCCCGTGCCGCCCGATCAGGCCCGCCAACTTGGGGTTGATGCTCTGCCCTAGACCGGAAGCAGCCAAAGGCATAGAAGAGCAGTTACAGGCAAGGCTGTTAGCGGTGGTTTCATTCATGCCTCATAGTTCACCCACGCGTTCATTCCCTGTCCATCCAGCCTGTATTTATTCTGCACTTAACTCTATGCCAGGTTGTGTTAGGAGCTTGGAACCCACTGTGGAGCCACACAGACAGAAACCCCTGTCCCTGGGCGTGCGTGCTGGTAGGGCAGGTGGGCAGGAAACACAGACCGCAGGCGTCCTGTGGGAACAGGGGCCGGGCTGAGGTCTGCAGAAGGCCTCCAGCTCCTGAAAGTTTCACTCACGTTTCACTGGGCATAGCTGAGCACACAGTCTACCTAATCCCAAGAGGTGGACGCAGTCCTGCTCGGCACCAAGGAGGGTGGGGACGGCTGCAAGCAGCCCTGATGCCTCCACCTTCTGCAGAGGACCCGTTGGAGCAGGGGGCTGGGTAACAGTGAGGGACAGAGCCCCGTGGGTATTTGCGGAGATGGCACTCCAGGCCGAGGGCACTGTGAAGGCACAAGCCCAGAGTGGAGCCAGGTGGGCGTGTCTAAGGAGCAGTGAGGAGACTGGCCTCCTGGTCAGAGCAGGGACTGAGGGGGAGAGGGGGAGAAGGGGCAGTCAGGAGGATGAGTGGGGGACGGTGGGGCACAGGTAACTGTGGGCATCAGCAAGCACTCTGCCTTACTCTGTTTACTGGGTGGAATAGTGTGCTCCCCAAATTCACCTCCCCCTAGAACCTCAGGATGTGACCTTAATTGGAAATAGTGTCTTTGCAGATATAATTAGTTAAGAGAAGGTCATATTGGATTAGGAGGGGCCCTAACTCAATGACTGCTGTCCTTAGAAGAAAGCCACATGAAGACACACACACACACACACACACACACACACACACACACTCACACGGGAGATGCCATGGGAAGATGAAGGCCAAGGAATACCACAGTAATGCCAGGAGCCACCAGCAGCTGGGAGAGGCAAGGTCGGAGACTCCACAGGGAGTGCATCCCTGGGCACCTTGATTTTGCACATCTGACCTCCAGATCTGTTGTTTTAAATACCCCCCTGACCCCCCTGGCTTGTGGCACTTTGTTACTGCAGCCCCAGGTCACTCATACAGACTGCAAGAGGTGGAAACCACGGGTGTTCCAGCCAAGGAGTGGGCAACTTGAGCGGTTTGCAAAAGACCATCTCAAGGTGCCCCTGGAGACTGGACTGTAGCATCAAGGGAGGAAGCCAGAGACCTGGGGAGGTGACTTGAACAGTCCAGGGACAAGTGACAGGGATTGGACCCAGACAGCGGGAGCAGAGTGGACCAGAAATGGTCGGGTCCTTGAGGGTTCATGTTTAAAATCCCTCTGTAGAATGTATTGGGTTGTCGGAAAAGTCACGACGTATTTTTTCTATGTTTTTCGTTGCAAAAATGTGTCATGACTTTTCCGACAGCCCAATATTTTATTTTTAATGTCCTGTTTTGAGATCGTTACAGAGGAAGTTGCAGAAAAAAAAGTATACAGGGATGGGGTCCCGTGTAACCCTTCACCCAGGTTCACCCAGTGGCCAGATATGACAAGCACAACGTTCAAACCTGAAAAGCAACCAATCCTGGATCTATTTTGAGGAAAACTGACAGAATTTGCTGAGGGGTTGGAAGGAAAAGGTGTGAGAAAGTGAGGGGTCCCATGTGACTTCCTCAGTCTGGGCTGGAGCACCTGGAAGGAGGGAGGGCCGGTTCCTGAGGTGGGGAAACCAAGGTGGGGGGGGGGGTAAGCCGGGAGCGGGGGCTGGGAGGCGAAATGCAGTGCGGTGTAGCAGCTGTTGTCTGAAATGCCCACCTGACACCCGAGGGAAGCTGGCAGGTGGCAGCGGAACGTCCCAGCCTGGGCTTGGCTCCTGATCCAGGCAGAGACAGGCTTGGAGCTGAGACGTGCTCTGGCCCGGTGCCAGCCTTCCTGGGTTCAAGTCCTACCTCCACCACTTAATGCACAGATGCTCCTCGGAGCAGAGCTTTGGGCATCGAAAGCGCTCAATGAATGCCACTTCCAGGCAGTGGTCGGGGCTTGCGTGGAGACTGGACCAGCTCACCTGAGGAGAGTGTGCAGCCGGACAAGCAACATGAGGGCTGAGCCCAGGCGCCCGTTTCCACATGGCCCAGGGCAGAGGCTGCCCAGAGGTAACCAGGGAGGAAGGACCTAGAAGAATCTGGAAGCAGCTTGGACAGGAGGAAGGAGGCACCAAGAAGACATGGGGTCCCAGAGACCGAGGGGAGAAAGCGGATGGAGTGATCACAGTGTCTGGTGCTCTGCGCCTGGGTCCACATTTAATGTCATGTGTCGTGGTGTTAAGTGTTCCAAAGAGAGAGAAAACAGGAGACAGGACCAAAAAAAAAAGCCTATCCTACTCATGACAGAACAGCTCAGAGAGGCTGAGTAACCTGCAGAAGGACACCCAGATCGCAAGTGAGGGAGCACCATTTGAACCCAGGTCACGTGTAACCTCGACCGATATGATGCCCCTGAGTTAGGTCAGAGGGGTCAGAGGCCAGCGAAAGTGGTGCTTCTGCAGGCCCTGGGCCCACGCACATCTGGAATTAACTTCACCTGGAGCCCCCCAGACGGGTGGAAGCCAGGAAACCCGGCCTCCGGAGGACCAGACAAGCACCAGGGGGCTCGCTTCGGATTTTTAACAACGAGCGTTTCAAAGACCAAACTCCCCATCCGCGGCTATTTTCCCTGAAATTAACCCCTTTCACGTTCGCGCTCCCGCATTCTTTAGCAGGGTTTCCCCGAGTTCACCCATCTATAATTGGAACGGTTCTATAAAAGGAACCATTAAAGCTGAGCCCCTAGGATTTGTGTTCCCCCCTGGAAGGCTTTTAGGGCAAAATAAAAATGCCTCGCCTGAAAACCTGACGCGGCTCCAGATAGAGTAATCCAACACTGCGAACGGTCGCTGCACCGCTGAGGGCGGGGGTCTGGCAGCCCCTGCAGCTGTCAGGACAGCCCGGGCCCGGGCCCCACGGCCTCAGCTAGGAACTAGGTGACAGAGCGGAAAAGAAGAGGGTCTCCAGGGGCGTTAACACCATATCTGCCCCTGACCAGCCTGCTTGAGCCAAGAGAAGTGAAGTTGCCTGCTGGGGCCTCAGTTTCCTCATCTATAAAATGGGGGTGATGCCATTTGTCTCACCCTGCCCCCCTTTTCTTGGTACCCAACCCAATTTTCATTTCGGCAGCGGCGCCTTAGCTGACCTCAGTCTGGCTGTTGGGTGAGGACGGTGGCCTAACACATGGCAACTAATCCTTAGGCTACAGTGATTGGTTCAGGTATGGGCACGTGACCTAATTCAGCCAATGAATGGAAGAGAGGTTTCCTGGACGTTCCTAGGAAAGAAGCTTCCCACGCTAGCATTCAAAAGCAACCTTCTCTCTCCCTGGACAAGACTGAGCGGAGAAGGAGAAGATGAAGCCCCAGAAACAACCACCACCTGGTGACAAGTGGATCACGTTTTCAAATGGGGCTGACCTGGTGGAAGGTGGAGCAGAGGGACAGACAGGACGTCCGTCTCTGGTGACATCCCTGAGCCACTGGATCAAACCCGTCCTGAAGATCATTCCCTGTCCCGACCACCAAGACGAATAACCCCCCTTGTTCACTGAGTCGGAGCTGCTACGTGGGGGTTGTTCTCGCCCTGTCCTCAGAGGCTTAAGGACTAAGGAACACGGTGACGAGCCGTCCTGGGACTGGCACAGGGCAGGCACTGGGGGGCAGGTGTGGATTATCTCCCTTCTATCACCAAGTTGGGGAATAGATTAAGGTTTTCACCCTACGGGCTGAATGACACCACAGCAGACATTTGCCTTCCACAAAAGCCAGGAGTATAGACAGCTACAAAGAGGCATCGCTTCGTTCTCACTAAGAGAAGATGTCTAAAACAAAAGCAGACGAGAAACAAGTGTTGGGAGGCACGTGGAGAAAGTGGGGCCCTCGTCACTGCTGGCGTCAGTACGCAAACGGGGCAGGTGGTCTGGGAAACGAACAGTTCAACAGACTTCCCATATGACCGGCAACCCCACTCCTAGGTGTGTACCCACGAGAACAGGTTCTCACGGAATCCTGTGCGCCAATGCTCACAGCAGCTCTAGTCACAGCGGTCTACGTGGAAACAAGCCACTTGTCCATCAGCAGGTGAAAGGATAAACAGCAGTGGAATATTAGTCACCATAAGGGGACGGACGGACTGATACCTGTACACGGCTGAGCCTTGGAAACACGACGCTAAGGGAAAGAAACCAGCCACAAAACATCACACAGTGTGTGATTCCATT